CATAAGTATTCACAGCCTTTGCTTCATAGTTTTCAACTATGAATTTTCCATCTGAATTGGATAAGGATCATTTAGTTAACCTACAGCGCAATAGTTGAAATACAACTGATGAACTACTTTAGAACTGAAGAAATTTCCTTTACATTTTAACTTTACATTTCAATTTCAAAGTCTGGAAATCACACTTTAAAATTCCCTGTTATTTCCAGGCTTTCTATTACTATGGGAGCTCTGGTTTTTGGTGCCGTCTCCTATTGAATTGTTACCTAGCTAGCAACACCTGCGGCTAATTCTTACAATCATGCAGACACCCTGTGGTTCGGAGTCATACTGTATAACACAATATGAAAAGAGATGGGGGTGAGGTTGGAATAGAAGCCGAGTTCAGACCAACCAATCAAACCAATTGTGAAAACAGCCTCTGTCCTCCTCTCTCTCGACTGGCAGGTGTGTGTGTGTGTGTGTGTGTGTGTGATTGCTGGGTTCCTGTCACTCCAGCGGGGTGTATTTTTGTTCTGGTAAGGCGGTGGAGTGTGACAGCCCTTTCACATTGTGCCATGATTACTTTCATCTCAACACACACATACAACACCCAAATAAACACAGGCCTCACCAGCTGCATGTTGTAGGCCAGCAGAACGAGTTTCATATCTGGGGAAACCTCATATTTGCTGGCTTTGTACATTTCCTGGAAAAAAAACAACAACAGAGAAAAGGTTAATGAGACTTTATAGAAAGCATAGTTTCATTACCATATTCCTTAAACGGCTGTGACAGATCGTGGGGAGAGCGTGGCATTAATCAGAGCTGCCACTCTTTGATTCTCAACAAACATCATGTTCTGTGTCCTTGCCTCCACTGTTTTGCATCCCACCAGCCCCACTTTAATGATCTGAAGCTGTTAACAAGTTACACAGAACAGTGCACTAATGATGGATGCGTTCAGCTCTATTAATAACAATAGAACTGTCGCTCCTGTGATGTGCTGTATGACGGTGGAGTAATTCATACTGTAGCGCATGCTAATGCATGACTCTACTTGCATGTGCTTAAGGCACAGTGAGACATTCACAATGCATTTATCTTTCATAATGTGACAAATTCATGAGGAAATAATATAAGGTGGGAGTTGATTGTATCTATCACCTTTGATTGGACTATTGTGTTTTGTTTGTTTTTGATGCACTTTCTGATCACTATGAAATTGTATATTGTACAGTAGATGTGCTATTGGCAAGTGTATTGAATGTTTAAATGAAGCCTATGATTTAATTCATATTAAACCATAATGATTTAAAATGTACTTTAAGGTGAAACCTACTTGACATTATTACAAAAACACGTTAAGAAACAGTCCTGAAAGTGTACTCTTAAGAGCACAGTTCATTTCATTAATATTATATTATCTGCAAGTACAGTTGTTGTTTTATATATATATATATATATATATATATATATACTTTTGAGATTTGAAGCACACTACAAGTGCATATTCAATACGATTAAGTGCACTTCTTTTCACAAGAACGGCTCAATGTCAGGGACATTGTTATAAATACATTTTGGAAGCTATACTATACATTTCTATGTGTGTAAAATGCCTCTAATGAGGAAGAATGACTTGCACCTTAAATGTTAAATGTATGGTATTATCCTGTTTAATATTATTTCCCCCACATGCAAAAGTTATTTAAGAGTTACATTTTGAAAATAAATAATTGTGTGTAGAATATGGTGACCCCAAAAATATCTTAACTTAAAATGTATAAACAACATATCAAAACAAGTGTCATTTATTCTAAAGAATAAAGCACAACTACGTTTTCAGACCAATTCTTTCACAAAATAAAGTTTGAAATAATAAAACAAAAGATTCCAGACTTTTTTAAAGCATGGCACTTTCTAGTTGTCAGATGTTGTGGATCATGGTTGATAGTTAATGAGATTCTCTACACCTGTGATTCTCTGCTGTGTGAACTTCAGGAGAACTGACTTCATACATCCACTTAAAATCATCGAAACACCAGATGATTAGAAGTAAATGACCAAAAATGATGAAGGAAATGAAGCTAGTGAAGAGAAAAGACATTTTTAAGTGTGACTTAATACTTTTTGGAATCACTTTAACAGATGAATCGTTCACAAATAGTAGCAATTTTGATTTTCATATGTCTTCATAGGAATATTTCCCAGGTGAAAAAAAGTGCACTTCCATAATGTACTTAAAGTGCTCTATTTTCATGCACTAATTTTGTGCTTAATATACTAAAAATTATTCTTTAGTACTTCTTAAGGTAATCGTAAAGAATATTTAAGTGTACTCAACTGAGCTATTTTGAGACACCATGAATATGAACTAAAATGTGCTTTAACATACTATCTCTGTGTTAAAAATTTATTTAGTTACCACTTGTAGTACACTTGAGTGTACTAGTGTATAAAAGATGGGTTCAGGTGTACTACAAGTGGTAAAATAAATTTTTTCATTAAAAATTTAAAATGTAACCCTCAGGCCTTGCATGATGTAGATGAGTTTGCTTCTTCATCGAAACAGAACTGGAGAAATTTAGCATTACATCACGTGCTAATCCACAAGTAATCCACATGACAATATTCCATCAATTAATGTCTCGTAAAGTGAAAAGCTGCATGTTTGTAAGAAACGAATCCATCATTAAGACTTTTTAACTTTGAACAGTTGCACCATCCTGGACAAAATAGACTTTTAGAAGTTTTGGACTGTTTTCACTTTTAAACAGTTCATGATCTGTGCATTTCTCTCCTGATTAAGATGAGACTACTTTTTCACCGGAGAAAGTGATATTATGGATAGAAGATGCATATTTTAGTTGGACTGTTTGAAATTGAAAACATCTTGATGGATTATATTACAAACATGCAACTTTTTGTTTCACAGTGTTGATTGTTGGACTGGCGTTGTGTGGATTACTTGTGGATTAGTGTAATGTTTTTGTCAACTCTTATTCTGACGGCACCCATTCACTGCAGAGGATCCGTTGGTGAGCAAGTGATGTAATGCTAAATTTCTCCAAATCTCTTCCGAGGAAAGATGGACCTGAGGTTGAGTAAATGCTTAGCAAATTTTCATTTTGGGGTGAACTTTTCCTTTAAAGCAGTGGTCGCCAACCCGTCGATCGCGATAAGTAAAATAAGTACAAAAATGCATTAAATTTCTGGGGTTATATTAAGAACGCAAACAGCCCCATCGTCGCTTTTAATTGCGGATTAGGGGAATGGTACGCAAAGGCTTTTTTTTTATCTTGCTTGCATAACTAATCGGTGATACGAGGTGACACAATTACCATCACAATCACATTAAAGCTAAAGTGGAAGGCACTGAAAGCACTGCAGTTCTAATGGGTCAGATCGCTGAGGTCATATGGAACGCAATTAATATTTTTTTGCTGTAGATACAAAAAATGGATTTACTATGAAGTAAATATTCTGAGATGGATATAAAACATGAGTTGTTTAATGCACTGCATGATGAATAATAATGGCATAAAGTGTTTTTTTTTCCCCTTTAATGGTTGTTGTAATGCTCTGAATGTTAAATGTGCTCATTTTATGGTGATTGTTGGAAGAAAGGTGCCCTTCACTCTGGTATTCCCATAGCTGAAATTGACTGGCGAGCTGATAAGATGCCAGAACAATCATTTGTCGACTTGACAAATTCCTCCTTTTCCTCTGACCTGATGTCGGGCCGTACGTTTCAGATCAGAACCTCATCAAGCGTCCTCTTCCCCTCTGCTCTCATTCATCTCTCACACTCTATCCATCATACATTCAGACAGGTGTGCTCTAAACACACTTCTCCACATATCATTCATTCTCCGGGACTCCTCTGAGCTCATCCAATACTTCTAACTGTCCTCTGTTTGAACCACCTCTCAGTCCCTATCGCTAGCTCACGTTTTGTCATGTGATTGTGCTCCACATGTGATCTTCTCGTGTGCTTCCTTTGGTTCATGTGTTATGTTTTTTATTGGTTTGTAGTCTTGTCAGGTGGATCTCAGTTCTGTCTTGTCATTGGTTCACTGTCTTGATTACTCTCAGGTTTATCTTAGTTATTAGTTCATGTGGATATTTGAAGTTTAAAGGGAAATGGCATTACACTACATTTTAGCTTATAAATGCTTGTCAGTGCATTCAGCAGTTTTTTTTTTTATTGAAGTAATTATGAAATTGCATATAAAGGTGCACCTAAGTCATACTAAAGTGGGTCACAAAAGCACTCTAATGTTTAACTAATTGAATTTAATAAAGAATTTAACTATCATACATTTTCATTTAATCATGCAATTAATATGCAGTTAAGTATTCAAAACATTCAGTTTGCTGAATGATTATTATTTTACATACTGTAGTATTTTTTTTTTTAAAGTACAGCGGGTAAAATAAGTATTGAACACATCACCATTTTTCTCAGTAAATATATTTTTAAAGGTGCTGTTGACATGAAATTTTCACCAGATGTCGGTAATAGGGATGTAACGGTTTGAAAATTTCTTTCCACGATTATAGTGACGAAAGTTATCACGATTATCAATATTATCACGGTTTTGTTAAATTTAGATGAAAATGTTCAAAAAGAACTGATACACACACTGAA